GCCAGCCTTTCAGAAGATTTCTCACACCATGCCACCCAGCCTATAAATTGTCTCTATAATAGAGTATTTTTTTGAGGTACAACTGATTTTGGGGAATCATTTCCTTGGGGGTGAAAATTAATTTTTTAGCATATTTTTTTATCTGCCAGCCTTTCAGAAGCTTTCTCACACCATGCCACCTAGCCTATAAATTGTCTCTGTAATAGAGTATTTTGTTGAGGTACAACTGATTTTCGGGAATCATTTCCTTGGGGGTAAAAATTAATTTTTTAGCATACTTTTTTATCTGCCAGCCTTTCAGAAACTTTCTCATACCATGCCACCTAGCCCATGAATTGTCTCTGTAATAGAGTATTTTTTTGAGATATAAATTATTTTGTGGAATCATTTTTTTGGGGGTGAAAATGAAGTTTTATTTATATTTTTTCATCTAGCACCCCTTTAGAGATTTTCTCAGTATATGCTATTTAGCTCAGTAATTACTTTCAATACAGTTATCGGTAAGTGAAAATTCGAAGAAAGGTTTTGGGTTAACTCTTGTTCCTGCCAATTATTTAATTAGGGTGGAAAATGATTCTTCCTATAGGGGTGCTTATTCTCGTGCATATATATATTTATTGTTGCGAGCTGTTAGCTGTATCCTTCACAATCACAGTCTGGTCGAGGATGTCGACGCCACTGGTCATTCGGGTATCTTCGGCAAATTGTCCGCTAAATTTTGTCTGCCAACTTCACACCGGTGTCAACCTTATCCTCCGATGAAGACGCCACTAAGCACAGTCCTGTGATTTGGTGACTTGTTCGATATGCAAAATCTCGTCGTCACTTTCACTAAGTTTCCCTAAAAATTCTTGCTTAGCAACCTCCAAATCAATGTCGTTCATGTCAGGTTTTTGACAGAATTCGCCATATAACTATTATATATCTTCTTTGGAATTGCTATCCGAATTGTTAGCTATGTTTATATCAACTTTTTTTGGTCTAAGTTTCTTTCCAAGATTCTTGCGTTTGAGTTTTTGTTCCATCTTAGTGATAAGCGAGGTTGGACTAAGCTTAGAACGCAAATGTATTTGGACCACATAGACAGGCCGCTCGGTATTGTGGCTCACTACAGCTGCAGCACATCTTCCATGGTATGACCTCTTCTTGCAATAATTTATTCGCTTACCCCAATGTATTTTGCGATTATAGAGTTGAACTGCTCCATACTATTGTTGTCCTGATCATGAATTAAACTCACTGAATTCGTAATTAAAATTGTCGCATATGACCTTTTATTGTCCATTATCAACCTTGATAAAAAATTCACTCAAGAACGATCACACCAACAAGAGTACAACACAACAATTCAACAACACAATAACGACGAACAGTAACAAGGGTAGAACAATACTAAATGATCACTAGCTGAGTACCAAAATAGGAAACGATTTACAGGCTAGATCGCTAATCGAAATCCGACTCTGTTATTATAAAAATTTACCTCGGTAGGCACCCGCAGTCATCCTTTCCTCTTTTACAGTAGCGCCGACCACCGTCTAAGACCAGCCCACAATCGTTTCCTTTTCACCCCCCCGTTATCTCAGCAGATGGTGCTCGTGATTGTAGGAGCCCCGTTAAAAGAGCTCTCCTTCATTATGCCGCCGCATAGTGGGAAATGAGCGAAATTAATTCATATTCTCAAAGACTTTGAGATGCAAAGTAATTTGAGAAATGTAGCCTGACGGCTTTTTATATACCATTACTACAAGACTGAATCAAAAACTTTTATTTCTTTAAAGCATTTTGACAGAGAATTTGTTCGGGAGCCAATTTATGGAATTTCATCATTGTAATACGACTTAATTCAGAAGCATTCGATATTAATTTTAAAAACTCTCATTAAAGTATATAATGTGAAAATGCGTGATATATCATGTTAAATAGCATATTGGAAGTTCATGTTAGTACTTACGGTTTGTAGTAAGAGGATTTAAAAAAAGCTAAGTATTCGCATTTTGAAGAAGGAAATATAAAGTCCTTCCCACATACGATCCTAGTATTTATTAACTTGAATAATCCCTCAACTCCTTAGAAACGTCATTAAGAAAATCCAGCTGCAAATATCTACAGAATTGCGACTAAGTAGTAAATAAAGACTATTTCAATTATAGGTCATGCTATTCGAGAAAATGAGAGAGTACCAACGAGGATGTGCTGCTAGTTTCTTTAGAAAAAATATTAATTTGTCTTTACATTACAATGCCAAAATGTTATCAAAAAAGGAATTATTTGTTAATTATAAGTTTCACTCGACTTATTCATACGCTTATTTTCTTAGCTGTATTTATTTATGCTATTTCACTTAGATATGGTTTATGATTCATAAACATTTAAATAAACCAAGAAGCATAAAATAAAAACCAAATTCATATTATTAGTTAACTTCGCACCTCCATAAAAAACATTCTATCAATACCCCGAGCGTTAAGCCTGCCAGTTGGACCCACCAGGATCCTGCCTCTCAATAATTCCATCTAACTTCGTACACCTAGAACTGGCCGTTAGACCCACTACTTTGTACCTAGGGTTAAGCGGTTGTGGAGCAATTTGCCGGTTCTGCTAACATTAGATAGCTCAAAATCGAAGTAACAAGGTGTCTTTACAGCTCCATTTAGCAGTGACGGTCCACATTTATAGTCGACGCGTGAGGGTTGATCAATTCTTGGATTTCAAACAAATAATAATTCGCTCTTAAGTTACCGTCAAGTAGAGATTCAACATTTGCACTTTACAGATACTTGTAAAATACTTTCAAGAGTCTCAAAATTTTCAAAATTCCTTGAATTTTCAGAATTTTCAAAATTCTCAAAACTTATTTTATTATCAAAGTTTCCAATAATATCAAGGTTTTAAAAAAAATAAAATTTCAGTATTTTCAATGTTTTAAATTTCGCAAATTTTCAACTTCCAAAATCAACAAAATTTTCGCAAATTTCGTGATTTTCAAAATTTTCAAAATATAGCTTTTCCAAAAATTGCATTCTGTTCGGAATTTTTAAAATTACCAAAATTTTTAACATTTTGAAAGTTTTCAAAAACAGCAAAATTTATAAAAGTTTCAAGATTGAAGCTTTCAAAATTTTCAGGATATCAAGAATTTTCATAATTTTATGAATTTCCAATGCTCTCAGTTTTCAAGATTTTCAAAATCTTCAAATTGAAAAATCTATCAAACCGTGAGAAGAATTGTTACAGCCTCAATATCCAACCCTCAATTGACACTCGGCCCTGAATATCGACAATGAATGGCGGCCTAAAGTATGTCCTAACCCCTGAGTCTGAAGAGTACAGTGGGTTTAATGGCCTTAAAACGAGTATATGAAAATTTATGTAGCTTTTCTAGAAAAATGCCGTCTATAAATGTGGGCCTAAAATATGTCCTAATCACCGAGTCCTAATCCTTGAATCCAAAGTCAACAGTGAGTTCGGTGGCTTTGAAATGACGTTGTGCTATAATACCTTGAGTATATGATAATGAGTGTGACTTTTCTAGAAAAGTCTTGACTCTAAACGTAATAATATGTAATTATGTACAGCTTGGTACAAAATGAGGTTGCTTCTATTTAGCCAGTCACCCGTTACACTAAACAAATTTTGTTCAAGTAATTTGCACGCGGCAGCAAGATGCAAGATAAATATTGCCATCCATTCACCGTACGGTAAGCGCGACACCAAATAACGGAACCAGCGTTGTTAACGTTTCAGGAAAAGTAGGCTGGTTCATACGGAGACTAAACTTTTGTTGAAACTGATTCCTTACTCAAATCGCTCAGATATTCAAATTGTATATCCATGATCTCTGCTTTCTGTAATGAGTAAAGTGATGGAAAGGTGCATTCATTGGAAGTTTATTAAACCTCACGGCTTGATTAACCCCGCAACTCCGGGGTATAGTAATTCAATCATATGTATAGTGAGGCTCATGTCGTTGCTCTTTCATATAAGCAAACTCCCAACCTATGGCCTCCCAGAGGAGTGCAGTTGAGGCAAGACATTCGTCGCAATTGGTAGGCTGTCTATTACATATCAACGACCCCATTCCCTGTATGATCAATCCGATCCAAGCGTTGCTGTTGACAGCACACTACATGCAGAAATTCCAAATACCAATACCATTCTGGTATAGTTTAATGCTTCCAAATCGCAGTAATGTACCGTGGCTTGGACTGCCCTAGCGATTATTCGGTTTCGATGGATGACCGAGTTCTACCAAAGTTCCATTCGGCTGGTCGAAGTTCAGATCACCGAGCAGTTGATCTGAAATCACGTCAATCGCAGCACCTGCTGGGACAAAGCTAGGCTTTTCGTTTAGGGTTGAGAAGTACTTTTCTCCGCATAAGCTCATCAATCTGTACAAGGCCCAGATATGACCTAGTTTCAAGTACTGCTCACATGTTTAGGGTGCTGCCACCCCGACTGCATTGTCTATTCTCGATGCTGTTCAGAGGTCTCGGGATCCTTTTGCACCGACGGGTCGCTCGATTTGTCCCTAGGCTTTCGAGATTGTGGAACAATCTGCCTGAGAAGGCTCTTCCCAGTTTAACTAGCCTTAGGCAGTTAAAAAATCAGATTAAACAAAGCGTCTTTAAACTTCTATAGGTGCCGCGGTGTCCCAGTATACAGGCTTTTGCCTGTGCGATTGGCATAAAGAAGTTCTGCAAGTTTTTGAAACTACACAAATTAGTCCGCCTATACAGGTACTTTACAACGCAAACTGTGTTGTGTAAGAGCTCATAAGCACTCGAACAGTTTACCACTTTCGTAAACAAAAATACTAAAACAGAAAAGTAGTAACGAACTAAGGCCTCACGTGATGGTGTTCGTGTAATTCAATCAACTTATTCAAATTGTAAGAGCGAGATGAACCGTAACGCTATGTTGCTATTTTTTATACATCATGTATAATAATTTTATCATATTAATACATCTGAAGTAAGAAATATACCCATTACACTCACCCCTTCCACCACTGGTTCCTATTGAACCCTCCAAGGATTTCGCCCAATCCAAAGTTGGGAAAGTCAAAGGCCGAGCTGAAAGCCGTCGTGAGAGGATTGCCTCCGTTAGCATCAACGTCAACTACCCCCACGCCTATGCCACCTCCAACAACACCCTTGCCGGCCGGTTTTTCTTCTTGAGGTTTCTGTTGGGTCACTGCTTTCTAGAAAAGAGAAAGAAATTATGTCATGTATATTGCACTTAGTTTACTTCTTAGGCTTACACATACGAGGATAGGCAACCATGGACAGCTGTTTTGTGGCTTTTAGCAATTTTCTCTGTTACTGAGCTAGAGAAAACAAGGTAAGAACTTCCTCCCTGACGAGGGACCTGGGAGCAGTCACTGCTTGGGAACACAACAATCTTGTACAGTTTAATACTTTCAAACACAGTAATGTATCTTGACTAACAACAAGTGTCCTAGCGCTCATCCGCTTTCGATGAATGGACGAGTTCTACCAAAGACTCTGGTCGGGGTCCAGATCACGATGGACTTCAGCTGCTAGGAGAAAGACTGCCTATTTATTTAGAACTAAGAAGTACTTTTCTCCACATGACCTCCTCATTCTGTACAATGCCCAGACAAGATCTAGCCTCGACTACTGCTCACATGTTTGGGGTGCTGCCGCCATTATCCATGCTTGATGCCATTCAGAGGAGGACTGTCTGACTGATCGATGGCTTTTATCCAACGGACCGTCTCGGAACCCTTACGCACCGGGGGCCGTCGGCGATCTAGCTCTCTTCTACCGCGACGCCAATGTGCTTTCCTCATCAGAGCTTTCATCCATGATGCCGCCGTGCGATATGCCTACCAGACGCGCCTCATATCCTCACCGTGTTGAACCTTATACATTCACTCCATTGTCCCGAGGGTATCGAGATGGTGGAACAATATACAAGAGGAGATTTTTCCCAGTTCTACTAACCTTAGGGAGTTCAAAACTCGAATTAACAAAGTTTCGTTAAGCTGCTAATTGCAGCCGCGGTACCCTGGCATTTAGGTTGTGCCGGTGCGACTGATTAGGGTTGGCCTCTAGAACAACCAACTTTCCTCTACTCAAGGTATGAACTCTATTGACATAAGGCACCACAAACCACCATCTATTACTAAAATCGACCACCGGGAAATTAACAGGGTGTTTCTGAATGATATGCGAATATTTAAGGGTGTGAACCTACATGAAAAATTAATGTTAGTTTGCTTTATAAACTATGGTCCAAAAATGTTTTCTTACTAAAACTCGGGGTGTTGAAGTTTTAGGAAAAAAAATGGAAAATATTTAATATTTTCAGAACCGCTTCAGATATTTCACTGATATTCAGTACCTACGTAGTAAAAGTAAATGAATTGCATATTTTTCAATGCAAGAATAATTTTTAGCTTTAACAGAGGCGTGAGTACGTGTATTGACTTCGATGTTTTTAAGAAAAAATGGTATTCCAATGATTTTTTTATAAATAAGAATTATTTTCGAATTCCCCGTTCAATTTAAAACAAATGATCTCTCTTGAATTGTTTGTCCTCGATGCGCCATTTTTGAGTAAAAAATAAAAACCGTTCTATTCTCTAACTTGCAAAATTATTATTAATTTATTTGGAAAAATTAAACACACTAGGGGTAATGAACAACAACAACTGACAACATAAACAGAACATTAAAACCAACGAAATGATTACAAAAATTGTTGAAATGGCCCCATTCACTTAGTATGCATGCTTCCGCCCTCCTCATGGAATTGAGGTTAAAATATCCCTGGAGTGTTTTTTATTCTATCACAAGCTGCAGCTGTTCTTTCTCTTAATTCCTCTACCATGTTAATGGGACTTGTGTACACTAGTGTCTTAAGATAGCCCCACAAAAAGAAATCTAAACTGTTGAGAACTGGGCACCTCGGTGGCCATTCTTGGGTCTACGACGGCCAATCCAACGATTTGGATAAACATTTTTTAAATAATTACTAACCGCTACAAATGCGCAGGTGCACCATCATGCATGTACCACATATGGTTTCTTATTACTAACGGAAAATCATCAAGCAGCTAAGGCAACTGTTGTTGAAGAAAATTGAGGTAAGTCCGTCCGTCAAGTCGTCCCGGCAAGAAGAATGGGCCAATAAAGTGGTTGCCAATAATTCGTGCCCATACGTTAACCGAAAATTGGTGTTGGAAATGGGTTTCGGTTACGGCATAGGGATTTTCTTCTGTCCACAAGGGATTATTGTGGAAATTCTGAATGGCGTTTCGAGAAAAATTAGCTTCGTCCGTGAACAGAATCATTGATTCAAATTGCGGATTTTGTGTAATTTTTTGAAGATACCACTGACAAAAGGTCACACGCATTGGAAAATCAATGGGAAGTAATGCCTGTACTCTTACAATATGGTAAGGATATAACAAAAAATCCACTAAAATTCTCCAAACAATTTGATGGGAAATGTTTAAGTGTCTAGCGATCTTCCTCGTACTGATTTCAGGATGTTCTTCGACTTCGTGCAGCACTGCCGCCTCAATTTGAGGTGTTCTCACACTTAGAGGTCTACCTTCAGATGTTCCTTTTCGGACACAGACACAGTTTCAACAATACGACGATGAATATTAGAAAAGGTTCGACTATGTGCCAAAGCACGATCGGGATATCTCTGGTGATAAATCCATCTGGCTTGCTCACCATTACCGTCGGCAAGGCCATATACGTAATTCATTTCCGCCATTTCTGCATTTGAATAATTCACCATTATTAACAAGATTGTAAAAACTAAATAATGAAAAAGATGCCACAGCGAACAGATTTGAATAACAGAGACTTGTCAGATGTCAAAAGCCAGTGACATATTCCAGAGCATTAATTTTCTCGGTAAATAGAACGGTTTTTATTTTTTTACTCAAAAAATGGCGCACAGAAATTAGAAACTGTTCGTTATAGCAACAAGAAGGTCCGACTAATAGCAAAAATGTTATGGTCGAAAAACGAGGAAAAATGCAGATTTTGGCACTTGGTAATGCGACGATAATGGCACGCAACTACTTGAAATTCTTCAAATCCATGGGATCCATACTTCTCGTCTAATATGATTAGGCTATGAAGAGAACTTTTGCCTGCAAAAGCCATCAGAAACTTAAAAAGCAGAATTAGGGGACGATCTGATATTTTAAAAACTTTAAAACAGTAACCTTGTATAATAATTTTATCAAAATCTGAGCGGTACCAGGTTATAGAGTGGCCAAAAATTGTCGAACAGGCAGATCGACAAAAATGAGCGACACTCAAAAAGATAAGATCTTGATTTTGAAATTTTTCGCACTCACAATACTTCCTTACCAACTGGAGTGAGAGCCAAAAGAAAGAATAGCATCACACTGGAAATGACACGCCAAATTGCAGACTTGAGCTCTGAAATGTCGAACAAATACAAATAATGTATATAAAATGGACGTTGCTTGTATTGATTGAAATTCCTAAAGTCCATTCATATTTTGCAATACAGGTAGTTGTTAGTATTCCACATGGTTCACCACTTGGTTCTCTCGTATACATATGTCGATGACTTCCCCTCCGATTGCTCGGTAATGTATGCAGATGATACGTCCATGCGTATCAATGAAAGAAAAAACCTAGAGCTTTTGGTAGGACTTGGTTATTCAAGCTCAAGTGATTCAGGTCAGTGGTTCAGTAAGAATGGGCTTGTTTTAGACAATTAAAAATGTGTTTTCCTTAGATTTAATTTTTCCCATCCACCGATAGATCACAGTTTGTTAAGAAAATCTTTTGGCAAATCCTTGTCCTATCTGTGATCAAACATTACTAAGAGCCGTATCGTCAGTCGTTCCTACAAAATTGTAGGACACCTTGATTTTCATAGTTTTCCCTGTCCTTCAGTGTCAGCGCTCTATTTTGAGGTTACGTTACAAATATTTATTTGCATCAAATGGTTCATGCTTTTTATTTATATCTGTTTAATCAGCCTGAAATTTCCGACAGTTAAGAAAGAAAGCATAACCTCACAATAAGTAAAGGCTAACCCGGAACTGTAGAAATCTAGAAATACCCCAGCCTTTCCGAAGAAAAGAAAAGACGGAGAAAATCAAGGACGTCACAAAGGCGTCCTATTTATAGAATGCCTTTATTAATATCTATTTGAATCAAATTGTTCATGCTTTTGATTTATATAATCTGTAATATAGCCTTAAATTTCCTACAACTGAAAAAGAAAACAGAGCCTCGCAATAGGAAAGCGCTGAGGCTGACACGGAGCAGTAGAAATCTAGAAACATCCCTCCATTTTCTGAATGATAGAAAATGCTGTGAAAATCAAGGAGGCCATAAAGGCGTGCTTCAGTTTTAGGAACGACCGACGGTACGGCCCTTAGAAATTATTATAACTATTATTAATATCCTTGTGGAAAATCTGCGCTCTGGAACACGAAACATTTCCCGAAGATTAAAGCCGTTGGGCCACTCTGTAAGTGTAAGCGATTTGAAAAGACCGTGTACATACAGACTAATGTCATTAAACTGCATCGGTCGTAGGCGCTAACTTTTTCCGAGCACATCCTGTGCTTCGAAACCAGTTTTGTAGAGATGACTGGTTCTATTCATGCTTGCAATCTGCTGAAATCGTTTGGTGGAAGGCTGTCTCTTATACAGATATTTCTTGCTAGCTTACTGTCAATAGTTGCTCAATACAAACGGGTTCCAATATATGCTTATGTGCATATGTACTTGGTTTAGCGAGTTGAATAAAAAAGGGAGAGGCAAATATCTAAATGTATCAGAAAAAAGATGATGTTAGCCTAAGCTGTATGATCCCCCGCGATCCCGCATGGGACCGATGAAACGTGCGGGATTGCAATCCCTAGTAGTGTTTACAGAACAAATAAGAATACTCAAACGAAATTTTTAAGGAAGTTTGGCTATTTCATTTGACTATCGATTCCTGTGGAATTATTATTCTATAGGTGGCTGGGAATTGTTTTCCTGGATTATAATTTTCATACCTTTATGAGCATAATGTAAATTTTTTAGTAAAAGCAAAAGTGCCTACCAAAATTTGTAACTCCTTATTTACCTGTTCTGTCGCTGATGAATCGGGATCCTTATAATCTGGAGCCAATGGCTCTCGATCTTTGCCGATAGACTCCGCAGCTCTTGTGGTTCCTACGTCCCATGATTGCCTGAATGGATCTAACGTGTGAAATAGCCGCAAGTCACTGAAACAAAAGAAAGTCGTCAATAACTCTATATGATGGATGATTTGGTTGGTGAATTAAATTTAAAAATAAGTGACAAATAAGCTAGACACATCCCAACGCATTCTGTTACTTCCTACGCCACTGACCCTTTTTTGATGTTAGTATATTTATGCGGTCCCAACCCCGGTAACTCTAAGCACCCATTAGCCATGTCTCACACATCGCAGGTTTCCCCGTACATTTATCTTTAAACCTTGAGAATGATACAAAAATGTTTACGATAGGTCTCTTTCTGCTATCTGGGCTCAGCTCCCGCCGTAACGGTCTGCTTGATTGTCTGTTGATTGCCAGATGGACGGTAATTCTCGATAGGGCACAGATAAAGAATTATTATGACTGACTGTATGGGCCTGTTTGACTGACCTCGTCCGTCTAATTTATCTATTGTACATGTCCGTAACTAATATTTTCTACGAGAGCTTAACTTGTGCCGAACTTATTCCTGTATAGACTGATGACGGCGTTGCATAGGAGGTGCAGGGTCAACCTACTTGATGTCATTTTTTTTTCACTGGTGAATAATTTCATTCCTGTTACGAAAAATAATACATCGGGTCCAAGGACGGCAACGTCGGAAGACTAGATAATATATACACAAACTTGTATGGTACGAAAAAAAGCATGTAAACACTAACGGACAGAATAAATCGAGCGTTGTTACCGGGCAGGTAGTTTTTATTGAGAGCTCCGAAAAACATCGTGTCGTGTGAGAAAAGACGTAATATTTCAGAAGGTGGGATAGAACTTACTGAATATTGATTAGTTGTGACGGGTTAATAAGTTATCGTGTTGCTAAGTACTGTGTATAGACTTAGTGCAAGATGAGTGACACTTCAAGTGAGGATGATAATGAGCAATCTGGACTTTATGTGTGTGCTCCAACAAAAAAACGGAAGATCGAGAAAACTGTTGACAAGCTTGTGGCGAAAAAAGTGAGTAAGATTTTGAGTCAACGTAATTTCATACAGAGCACTGATTCAAAATACACCGGGAAAGCAGATTTGATACCAGAGTTTGATCCGGAAAAATCAGAGATCACTGCCATAAATTGGTTACATAAGATTGAACAAATTGGAATGATTAATAGTTGGAGCGATGAACAAAAATCATTATGCATGCAGTCTCGCCTTACAGGATTGGCAAAAGTTTGGTATAACGGGCTAACAGACTACAACTTGAATTGGGACGAGTGGAAATTGGCCATTTCACGTGCCTTCCCTGCACATACAGACTACGTCAACTTGCTAAAAAAAATGTTGGCGCGAAGTAAGAGTAATGATGAGAGCATGATGCATTATTTTTATTTGAAGAACATGCTGGTAAAAAAATGTGGACTAGTGGGGACTAATGCAGTTTCTTGCATAATTGATGGATTACCCATACCACTGCAAGCTAACGCCAAAGCGGGGAACTATGAATCACCAGACGAGCTGTTCTACGGGTTCCTTAGCAAAGTAGAGAGTTTTCGCGAGTCGCCAGCTAAGAGAATGGGTACCACAGAAAATTTTGATCTACAACCTAGTACATCTGGACAATTGACATTTAGGTGTATCTTATGCAAGAAAGTAGGGCATAAAGCCCGACATTGTTTACTTAGAAGATCGAATCAGGCGACTAGTAGCAGTACTCCAAGGAGCAGTGATCAAGGTACCCGTTGTCCTCGTTGCGGAAAGAAGGGGCACACGGAGCAGCTGTGTTGGTCCAGAGTCAAGCCGACATGTTCGAGTTGCGGTAAAATGGGACATAAGGACCAGGACTGTTGGAAAAGACCGAGTTTGACATCGACCTGCACCACCTGCGGGAAAAGAGGACACCTAGCTGAAAACTGCTGGACTAAGGAACGGGGGAAGCCTAAGGATGTCAGAATTTTGCAAAGGCAAGTGCCCAATTCTTTCTATAATATAGCCATAGAAATTAATGGTCAACATTTCAATGGGTATATTGATACTGGTAGTCAATTGAGTGTTGCTAATATTAGGGTAGCCAATAAACTCAATTTAAAATTGTATCCGACTGATATAATACTGAGGAATTTCAGTGGCTCCCACATAGTGCCAGAAAAAACCAGTCAGGTAGAGATATCTATTGGCAAGATTTTTATGACTACGTCTTTGGTATTTGTAAATGTTGAAATGTCCTCAGTTGATGTTATTATTGGACAACCAATTATAAATAGCGAAAAGGTGACTTTGAATGTTACAGGTGGTCATACACAATTAAAACCAGCTGAAGATAATTTGTTAGAAATGTTTAGTTGCCTAGATAATATAGAAAAATTGCCTATGGAAGTTTTCGAACATGTACATATTCCTGCTCTAAGTTCTAAGAGAATATTGGTTGCTTTAGATAATACCCACGATATTGTTATTATAAGTGGTCAGCTGTTTACTGGTTCCCAAAATTGTTCTATACAAGGTTGTCTTATTAGTGGACCAGTTCAAACGTTAAATGTCATAAATTGGGGTAATAAACCTATATGTTGGGAAAAAGGACAAATTTTAACAAAGGGGTTCAAGCTAAGTTCCTCGACTAAATTTCCAGTCATAGAAGAAGGCAATGCACTCTATCGTTACAAATGGATAACATAATTTGTGGAAATTTATCAGAAAATGATAGAAATAAGTTGTATGATCTTTTACATAGCTTCAGCAAATGTTTTGCAACTGATACTCTCGAGTTAGGTAATAGTAAATCAGTAGAATTGAAAATAGATTTGTTATCTGACAAACCAATCGTTCATAGGCCCTACCGCTTGTCTGAATTTGAAAGGGGGATCGTCCGAGATAAAATTAGTGACCTCTTGGAAGGAGGTATTATTAGAGAATCATCATCTAACTACTCTAGTCCAATCGTTCTTGTAAAAAAGAAGACCGGAGATTACCGTTTATGCGTTGACTATAGAAAATTAAATTCTATCATGGTGAAGAATAATTATCCACTACCACACATAGAAGATTTGATATCCAGGCTACAAAACAAAAAGTATTTTTGCAGTTTAGATATGGCCCAAGGATATTATCAAGTGCCTGTGGCATCTGATTCCATTAATAAAACTGCCTTTGTAACGCCTGACGGTCAGTATGAATTTGTAAGAATGCCTTTTGGGATCGCTAATGCTCCCGGCACATTTCAAAAAATGGTAAATAATGTATTGGGAAATTTGAGATATGATACGGTCGCTGTTTATCTCGACGACATACTGATCCCGTCAGACACTGTGGAACAGGGATTGCAAGTTTTACGACAAGTTCTTGAATTATTTGCCAAAGCCAATTTAAAATTGAATATAGATAAGTGCTCATTTTTCCAGACACAAATAGATTTCCTTGGATATGAGGTTTCGGAACTAGGAATAAGACCTGGTGATCGAAAAGTTAGAGCAGTAGCAGACTTCAAAGATCCAACAAATATACATGAGCTACGGCAGTTTTTGGGACTCAGTTCCTATTTCCTTAAGTTTATAAAAGATCATGCAAAAATTGTCGCTCCACTTACAACATTGTTACGAAAAAATGTGCCGTGGTCTTGGGAAAGTGAGCACAAACAAGCTGTTAGTAAAATTAAGGATATACTTATAAATAAACCTATTCTCAAAGTTTATGACCCTGAAGCAAAGACTGAACTACATACAGACGCATGTAGCAAGGGCATTGGAAGTATGCTCCTACAGTATGAGGGAGCTACGTTAAAACCGGTATATTACTTTAGCCGATCAACATCTCGTGATGAAAAATTATATCAATCATACGAGTTAGAGACCTTAGCTGTTGTTGAGTCAATCAAAAGATTTAGGGTCTATTTGACAGGGATACATTTTAAAATAGTCACAGATTGTAGTGCAGTTAGGGGTACTTCTGAGAAAAAAGATTGGCTACCTAGTGTTGCACGATGGTGGTTGAGTATCCAAGATTTCGATTTCGAAATAGAACACCGTCCGGCTGATAAAATGAAACATGTGGATGCTCTAAGTAGAAATCCAGTGCGCGATGTACTTATTATGGACGCGTCTGATTGGGTTTTAGCATTACAACAGCAAGATGAAAGTATACGGATAATAAAAGAAAAGTTAGCCGCAGCAAATGACAAGGACATTTTAAATAACTATATAATAAGGGATCATAAATTGTATCGTAAGACGTTGGATGGTAAGCTTAAGCTGGTTGTTCCAAAGTCTGCGCGATTTAACATATTGCGGAAATATCATGATGATATCGTCCATGTCGGACTAAAACGATGCGAGGCAATCATCAAGGACAAATTTTGGTTCAAAAATATGACTAGATTTATAAAAAAATACGTAACTGCGTGCCTAGATTGTCAGTATAAAAGGGGACAATATGGAAAACAACAAGGACAACTCTTTCCCATAAGTAAGCCGTGCGAACCGCTTCATACATGGCATATTGACCATTTAGGCCCATTTGTTAAAAGTGGGGAAATTCATATATTCTCATGATAATTGATTCATTCGCTAAATTTGTATTTGCTAGACCGACAAAAACTACAAAGGCTAAAGAGGTTAATGAACATTTAGACGATTTATTTAGTATGTTCGGGACTCCCAAAAGAATAATTTCAGATCGTGGAAAAGCTTTCACTAGTAAAGCGTTCAAATTATTTTTAAGCCAGTATCAAGTTAAACATATTTTAAACGCTATAGCATGTCCAAGAGCAAATGGGCAAATCGAAAGGTATAATCGAACAATATTAAACGGGATAAATACGTCTATAGAAAATGAAAGTGATTGGCAGAGAGCTCTTCCTAAAGTTTTATGGGGTATTAATAATACAGTGAACGATACTACCGGGTATGCGCCACACCTTTTAATGTTTGGTTATGAAAAAAACCAACATGCTGATCTGGGAGATAATGAGTTTGAGGTCCCGCCCGATGCTAAGACAGGATGGACATACAGGCAAATAAAATGAAAAAACGTTTCGATGAAAAGCACACGCCT